AGTGAGAAGGGCAGGTGGGCAGAGGTGAGTGGAATGGAGCTGGATCTGAGGTCTGAGCCAGGGGCCAGCTAGACCGCGCCTCTATGGAGGAGTTCACAACAGTAGGTGCATTCACAGGGACTTCACAGAAGGAAATACCATATGTGACATGCCAAAAGGCTACACATGTGCTGCGCGAGTCCCAGTCACTCTCTCCTCTTCCCAGCCCAGGCTGGCTGCTAATTACAAGGTAGAGGTAGCAGCCTCCTGCCCAAAGGGAGAGGAGTCACAGAGGAGGGCTCTAGGGGAGGGACAGGGTGCATCAGGAGATTCTGCAATTAGAGTCCAGAGAATTCTTCTAAATGCCCTGTAGCAGTGGGCTGAGAAGTTTGGAGACCACAGGGGGCATATTGTGAAGAGAAGATCGGAGAAAGGTCCAGAGGCCGGATCTGCATATGGTCAAGGCCCAGTCCACTTCACTTCCTGGGAACTTCAAGCTCTCTCTGTCTTGTGGACTAGGCAAGAACTAGGTCTCACTTTTGAGGAGCAGAAGTTTGGGCCCGAGCTGGGGTGCACCCGAGCACTCGTGTTCCCCTCCCATCCCTTCCCTTGTCCCTGCCCCTCTAGGTCTTGGCTATAACAGCTGTATTCCAGGGTCTGGAAAAGAGGTGGAGGGGAGAACTAAGCAGGCCAGAAGAGAGAAGCGGGGTCAGGTGTTTCCCTCCCTGTCCTTGTAGGTCTGGAGAGACCTACAGCCCAGGCCTTTCTCTCCTTTATCCCCCTCACCCCATCTCACCTCACCTCACCCCTTGACCCAAAGGGCAGGCTCAGCACAGCCAGAGCAGCTTGAAGCTTCCCCGCCCCCCAACTCCCTGTGTTTCCCTGGACAAGTCCCTACATGGCTGAACCTCCTATAAACCAGAAAAGCCGTGTTCCCCACCCACCTCTCAGAAGTTGAGGAGCAAGAGTAAGTCTCCCTCTGTGACGTCCCTTTACTTGGTCCCACTTACTTCCCTGGGGCAATCCAGGGGTAATGGGCAGAATGGCCTTTCCCGTGAAGAGTGTGGATGACTCAGTGCCCCACGCCTTCCCTCTCTCTTATCACTCAACGGGATTAACCCTGACTCACAAACACAGGATGTTGAGGGGTGACATGTATATTGGGGAGAGGCTAATTAACCCAAATCTGACTCTAGGACTCCACTGAGTGTAGCCTGATTCACAAATCCCTGGGTTTTGGGAACACTACTTTTTCTTCCAAAGTAAGGAGCTGGGTGGAGGAAAACAGGGACTTCAGCTAAGAAGATTCGGATCAGAGGAGGTTGACCGTATTGTAGCCAGGGAGGAGGAAACTTTCAGGATTCACCACACTGAACAAAAGAGGATTCAACAATCAGAACTTTGGAACTCTGAACATCCACTCTCCTAAAGGGAACAGCTTTTTTCTCTCAGAGCCACAGGAAGAAGTCCAGGATTCTCACATTCTAACTTCTTATTTGAGACCTTTTTTCTCCCAACCTGAACTCCAATACCAGATTTCCCTTTTTGCAGTGATTCCTTGTGCCAGAAACAAAATGAACCTATTTACAGATGAGGGCATATAGGGGTGTGTGTGTGTGTGTGTGTGTGTGTGTTGTGTGCATGTCCATGCCTAGTACATACAGGACAAAAAAAGCCAGAGATAATGACCCCCATCTATTCCACCTGCAGTGAGGAGCACGCAGAGGCAAATGCCCCCGTGGGATGTATCCTCAACACCATCTCTAGCTCACACAGAGGCTTTCTGAGTGGAGCCTCCCTTCCCTTCTCCCCCTTTTCCTTTCTCCAGGTTCTAGCTCCTGTCTCAACACCTGAGTAGCTGCCTCTGTGGACTGAGACATGAATGGCCAAGCAAGTGTTGTCCTGCATTGTAGCAAAGAGCCTGGGCAGTCATCTCTTTTCCTGGAGAAGATCTGAGGAAAACAGGTTGGAGCTGCCATGTGAGGGATTTAAATGAAAGCTTAGGCTTCCTGCCCTGGGTCAGGCAAGAGCAGTGTGCATGAAGGAGTGATATAGCTCCTTTGGGTTTCTGATGTTAGCATTTTTTTTTTTTTTTTTTTTTTTTTGCCACTTGGGCACTCAACAAAGCCATTGTTGTATGCCTTTTATAGAGGGCAAGAGTGAGCTAAGCCAAAAGGAGGCCCAACCCCTGATGTGTTCTGCTATCTATACCTCCGAGAGCCACCTGCTATGGACCTGCTTCCAGCACACACTACCCACCCCTTCCTCCAACCAAGCCGTCCAGAGCTGGATTTGTACAAGAGCCTGAAGCTGCCCTGGAGATGAAACAATGCTTTTGCAAAGGGTGAGCCAATCCTGACTTTCCTTAGAGCCCACAGAGGTATTGTGCAGAAACAGGACAAGGAATCAAGGGCAAAAGGAACAGAGACAAGGCAACAGCAAGCCTAGAGCATGGGCTACAGGGCATTGTTTTTCTTTTCTTTTTTTTTTTTTTCTTTTGGTTTTTCGAGACAAGGTTTCTCTGTGTAGCTTTGGAGCCTATCCTGGCAGTCGCTCTGGAGACCAGACTGGCCTTGAACTCACAGAGATCTGCCTGCCTCTGCCTCCTGAGTGCTAGGATTAAAGGCGTGCGCCACCAACACCCAGCCAGGCTACAGGGCTTTGTAAGGGGAGTTACAGCATATAGACGCTTCTTCACAAATGACTACATAACAGAGATGTAAACTCCAAACTAATTAAATTTCCCGTGCTAATGTCAAACCTGGGCTGAGCTGTCTAATGACAGCTGGAACAGAATAAAGTCCACAAAGACAAAACTGGAGGCGAGAGTTTCTTCCTTCATGTGGCTTCTCATTGTGATGGAGCTCACTGGCCATACATCCAAGTCCCTGCACACTGGTTCCACCCAGCACTGAGCCTGATTCAGAAAGGAGTTAAAAATACATTTTCTTCTTTTTTTTTGGGGGGGGGGTGTCAAGATAGGGTCTCTTTGTAGCCCTGGCTGTCCTGTAACTTGCTCTGTAGACCCGGCTGGCCTCCAACTCACAGAAATGGACCTACCTTTGCCTCTTTGAGTGCTGGGATTAAAGGTGTGAGTCACCATTGCCTGGCCAAGTACCTCCTCTACAGAGTTGAGAGAAAATATATATATCAGAAAATCTGAGAGTGATATATATATATATATATATATATATATATATATATATATATATATGTTGTTTAAGATCTATTTATATATGTACTTTATGTATATGGATGCTTTGTCTGCATGTATGTCTGCATTATCAGAAGAGGGTGGGCATCATAGCCCATGGGACTAGTTATAGATGGTTGTGAGCCGCACTGTGGTTGCTGGGAATTGAACTCAGGACCTCTGGAAGAGCACCCAGTGCTCTTAACCACTCCGCTGTCTCTTCAACCTGTTTTTCATTTGTTTGCTGGAGACAGCGTTTCTCTGTGTAACCTTGGCTGTCCTAGAACCCATTCTGTAGACCAGGCTGGCATTAAACTCAAGACATCTGCCTGGCTCTGCCTCTTTAGTGATGGGATTAAAGGTTATGTGACACCACTACTCGAAGTTAGTCTTAGTCTTTCTTTCACCACCACCACTTCACAAGTTCTAGGCATAGTCCACAAGTTCTGACTCCTGGTGGTGCCCGGTTTCCGCCTGCTTGGGCTAGGTGCTCCTTTTAAATCTATCTGTCTCGTCCCAGAGTCCCGTTCTAGGTGCTGTGAGGAGCACCAAGTCATCTGAGTTCAGCATGTTCTCTGTCCTCATGGAGCTTTCTCACAGAGTAGGTGAAAACCACGAGAAAAGACAAGTCAGGTGCCCAGAAAGCAACAAGACAATAGAAGGTGCCCACTGGTATGCATGCCTGCCAAGTGAACTCAACAAGGAGCAATTGCATTCACAGTTCACAAGACGGAAAGAACACCTCAGGCTGGGGGTGAGGGCAGGGACTAGGAGGGGTGCTATTTGAGCTGAGTCTAAAAAAAAAAAAAAGAAAGAAAGAAAGAAAGAAAGAAAGAAAGAAAGAAAACAGCCAGGATTAGGGGAGAAAAGCAGGGAGTAGCTGCCAGAAGGGGTGTGGATCAGTCTAAGAGGCTGCATCCTGCCTCCCTCAGAGCTCCTGGACTGCAGGTGTGTAGCACAGTAATGGGAACGACAGGCAGCCGCAAAGGATGGGTAGGACTCACGCTGAAAGGCTAGGCAGCAGTATCCAGTGCTTTATGCATTTCCTCTGGGCTGGAGGATCCCCCTCAACTCCATACACCCAAGCCCTATCTGGTCTATGTCTTTTTTCCACTGTTAGTATGCTGGGAGGAAATAGCACTAACACCAGTGTATTTGTTTAATGGGCTCTATTCATACACATACATACATACACATACACACACACACACACACACACACACACA